ATAACATTACAATGTAATGGCATGTTTAAAATGAGAACATTATTAGCCCATTCCCAGCTTAAGAAAAGTGTTTTGATAGCATGGAAAGAGGTAACCATTGTTTCCATTTGTAAAAAAAATACCTATCCAAAGACTATCGGGAAATAAGTTAATTCCCGATTAATTCACAAACTACTGGCCTTTGTCTCACTTTGCAGATTGTGAAAAACCGTGAAAGAATGACTCCCAAAGTAGGCTTTCAAAAAGCAATAACGTTATGGGGGTCGTTGTCGGCCATTTCAAACACTAAACAAGTTATTCAGATTCATCAACGTAATGGATGAAAAAGCCAGCTATTAGTGAAAGGATGTCTGAAAAAGGACTATAATCGACTTCAGGCAAATTACTAGAATGACGAGCGAAACGCTTCGAAAAATAAAACAGTACGACGGGTCTTTAACCAGTTTTCAGTCAGCCAGTTACAACGTAAAACTTCGTACGTAATTACATACATCAGTTCCGGTTGCCATACCACATTAGCATAGAGATGTAATTGTCAATTCAAATCCCATAATAGTAAAGGTAGTAAAAGTATTAGCAGTAATCAGAAATTTTAGGGTTCGACGATATTATGCAAGAGGTGGAACCTAGTAAAAGAAACTTAAAAAGAAAAAGGTGATGAGGAATTCAGAAGGTTAGGATCTGAGAGAACACAAAGAATGAATGCGCCTGTGCCATTGCAAACAGTTTTGAACCATGTCATTCAGGGTCTCTAACCATCGATTACTATTATCTCGCGGACCCCAACCAGCTGGTCGACACCTATCAACCTGACTCAGTCCAGTTGTCAGTGACTTCATGGATTTGTGCAATGTTTTGATTTGGCCACCCCTAGTTTCATTCAAACCTATATCTACATCGCAAAACATAGCTCGACGAGGCAGTCTGTGATTATGCATTCGTAACGCATGTCTCAGCTACCTAAACTGATGAACTTTATATACTTTTCAGTTGTCCATAATTCCAAAATAAGCTAGTCAGTCCCAATGTAGAACCTGGTACGTACTTACATCAGTTCAAGTTTCCAAACTCCATTGGCACAGACAGATGAAATTATCACGCCAAATCCCAGAGTACTAGTGACAGAATCATCAGTAGGGGAATCGAAGATATTATTTAAGAAAGCATAAATAAGTTATAAGGAAATCAGAGGCTTAGAATTTGAGAGACGACAAAAAATGAGCGCACTTGTACTATTGAAACGATTTTTAGCCAGATCGTTCAATCTCTCTAACCACTAGGTACGATTAAGTGAACTCCAATCAGATAGTCTGCACCTATTAACATAGTTTAATCAAGCTGTCAATGAGCTTGTACTAGGTTAATGTTCTTCTTTGGTACACCTTTCAATGACAGACACTGCCACAAAACCTCACCATCAACAGTCAAACGCTTCCTTAAGGTTAGGAAATACAATTATTGTCGGATGTTGAAAAGTGTGCTTATGTTCTGCGACCTGTCAACGTGAGAATATTTGGTCTATACATCCACGTTCAGGTCCAGAACCTGTTTCTTTTTCTCGACTTTGCACCTAACGAGCTCTAACTAGGCGATGAAGTATTATTGAAGCTCTTATTTTAGACACCATGCTAGTGAGTTAAACTGATTGTTCTGTGATTATCATAAGGCTGTTTATAGGTGGTAGGTAGGTGAAGTGTGACTGACAACCAGTTGAACTGCTGCTTAGTGTTCTGTTCATCTATCTAACCTACCTAATTGATGGTGAATAAAAGTTTCGTCTTTTTCCAAAATAGTCTTACTAACAACCAGATTACAAATACCCGTCTCCTTGATAATTCTGAACAGCTGTCTACTGTTACTTATTACTGCTGCCTTAACTGTCTCTTTTACTTTCACTGCCCACTACTGTCCATGATCATCGCGTAGGTTTTTAACCAGCCTACGTTTAAGCTGCTTCCACGCCTCATTGTGTTCGGAGCCAGTTCAGTAGTTACCGCAAAAATACACTGATCTATTCCCAGCTTTTTGTGTAATTTACTAGTAGATATAATTGCTATTCCCATAGCTTTTTGGATATCATTCTAGGCTGCCTCAGGATGGATATCACTTCTTCAGCTAACTAACCTCTATTTGTTCCTGAATTATATTCTTCCTATGCGAGACGATTTTTGTATGTTAGTATCTGCCAGAAACAAGTAGCTATTTGAGCAGATGCAGCGGATGGTCGACAATTTCTGTTCTCTGAACCACGACATCGTTATTTCCATCTAGATGCCTTTCGGTTCCTTTCAGTTTACCTACTTGAGCATTCAAATCACAAACCACTTACGATTACATCAATATTTAGCTTTTGGTAGGTTAGTCAGCTCCCTAAAAAGTTCACCTTTTATTTCAGCTGAGTCACAATCAATGAGAGCGCGCTCCTATCTTTCTGAGATTTTACTATTCCGTTTAGTCGGACAACGCACAAGCGACTGTCTACTGGAATCCAGTCTCGGACAGCTAGTTTTGCTTCTGAACTTAATGCTATACCTACACCAGTGAGGCTACGGGAAATAGTAGTGGGGTCTTCAGGTACACAGATGATAAATCACAATGGTTTTTCATATTGGCAGGGTGATCTCAAGTGAATAACCGTACTTCAGTTCAGTAAGCGCGTTTTGGAGATTCAGCATACACTGATGGTGAGAGATTCTAGCGTTTTTCCTTGGAAAGCCTGTTACCTATTTTGGCACAAAGTTGGAATACTTAAAACTCCAAAATGTAGGTTAGGGAGAGTTTTCAGTATGCTAGGATTAGCGGCCGACGTCATGGAGGACTACGTAAATGGTTAGTTGTAGGGATAACGAAGTAAACAAGCGTTGAGGAAGGGATTCGATCGTGAACAAGATAATGTCAAGTGTTGTTAAAAATGCGAGGGTGGTTTCTACTTGCCTGCTATCCATACTGTAGGGGGATATTTTTTTAAGGTTACGAAAACAAGGCTGTGTCAGTTGTGATTTTAGTGACCTGGAAGCATGAACGTACAGCCCAAAGGACAATTGATTGAGGTTGATCAAGCACGGCTTTTTTATAGTAAGTCTATGATGTGTTAGCTCCGTACTTCAAAAAGCCTTACAACCAGAGACGAGAATTCGCGGAGTAAGATGAGAAACATTTAAGATCGACTCTTTATAACCCCCAGTTTTCATAGTGAGAAGGCAGCAATGCTGTAGGTGATGGTTGTCCGTGAGAAACAGCTAACTACTATCGCCCCTCTACAGACAGCAGAACGAGTTTGCACTCGGATCTTAAGTGACTGTTTTTAAATCTACCCTTCTCAAACCTATCTGCCTGATTCGTTAGAATTAGCCAATATAGCTCTGAACAGTTATTACGATAGACAAGCCAGACCACCCTGTTGGAGCAGCAGTCACGGTTGGTATCCCGAAATAGGGTATCGAAAGTTTATTAGATCTGCAGTGTTCACTCCTCAATAAGCTTTTGAACAGTACACTTAGTTATAACAATTCATATGAAAAAAGCCAACTTTCTGGTACGACAGTGACTTCATATTGCTTTATGTAATATGCCTACTAAAGCCGGAAAACGAGAGGAAATGGAGGGTTCTTCCTTTCTTAAGATTAAGAAATTGACATGTGCCTCGAAAAATCTAGGTCAACTAAAAATGAAAGCATCACAAAAATTAGTTATGACGAATTGTGCTACAGTAAATGAGTTGTCCTCCGTACTTGTCAGCCGTAGGCTAGGTCAGGAACGGCAGTTATGAGATATGGCCAGATAGGATGAGTAATATCCAATACGTCAACAAATGAGAGGGGAGTATTGTAAATATGTATTGGCGAGGATCAAATTAGAACTGTACTACAATTTAGCTTGTATTTGCAAGATTCAAGCGGCTACAGCACAAAACGAAATTATTCAGTAAATAATGTAAGGACAATTTCCACATTACACATGAAGGTCACCGACACCAGGTATTATTTATCAACTTGGAGTTAAATCTACAAATGGCCGGCATTATGTAGATGACATGCGGATTGTGGAAAGGATTTATAACTTGAAAAGGTGTTGATAAACATGGGTATTTTAGATCGAGTGAACGAAGTTTCACTGAAAGTAGGGCTTTGAAAGTAAAGCAGTCTGCTTGAGTTAAACAACGGATTTCTCATAGTGAAATGAGAGCAGCGGTCCAGAATGAACTGTAATGTATACAAAACGTAGAGAAGCTCTACACGCAACAAATGTACGACAATCTCAGTCAGTTTTCTACAACGTAGAACTTGATCCGTATGTACATGAGTTCAAGCTGTCATACTACGTTAGCAATTGGCGATTCAAATCCAATGGTGGCAGAGATTCTAGAAGTATTAGCGATAGTTGAAAAGATTAGGGATCGAAGAAATGGTCCAAGAAGTATAATCCAGTGAAGTAGATTTAAAACGAAATAAGGAAAGGTCATCAGCCCATGAATTTATGAGGGATGACAGAGAACGGATGCATCTGCGCAATTGCAAGTGATTTTGAGACATTCCATTAAAAGTTTATAACCATCGGTTATAACTGTCTCGAGGAACTCCGACCAGGTAGTCGATCCTTACCAACATGGTTCAGTTCAGCAATCCATTAATTCATGGACTTGTGCCATGTTTTAGTCTGGCCGCCCTTAGCGTTCTTTCAACCTACCCCTACATCACAAAACATAGCATATCGAGGCAGTTAGTGGTTATGCATAAGTAACACATGTCCTGAATAACCAGCTACGTATATTATGAAAGCGTCAACACTGTAACTATACTATAACTAATATGCCCGATAATTAAACGACAGATTTGAAGCAATTTCGTAACGCAGGCAGTTGAAAAATCGAGTTACATAGAACTGTGCTGTCTTACAATGGCCAGCACCAAACACCTGGTCAAAATACGCAATCCTACATGCTTAATAGTAAATTATGCCCGATGGTCCTAGGATAATTAAAATAAAAATGCTTCACATACTTCTTAAGAAAAGACTGCACGCTTTTTGAATTCTTGGCGGAGGGAAAATCACAATCACTGACCAGTGCCGAGACTACATCCAATAAGTTTTCCAAATAACATTCCGAATTTGGGTCGAGTAATTCCTTTTCAAGTTCATTAAGGGGAAGATTATCCGATGAGGTCATATCGGAAACAGCAGACAAGAAACCCAATGTGACAGTCGAATTTTTCAGAAATCAACCAAGAGGTTTGCTATCACCGCTGAGTGACCTTAAGTGATGATGCACATAAACAAACCTTACCATACAATATATCGCATGCCTTTTGAAAAGCTCTGATGAATCTAATTTATAATTTCACTGCTAACATCTAAGTGTTGCTGAATTATCGAATCTATTCATTTCATGACCCAAGGTTAGCCTAGTCCAATATCTCCAATATGTAGTCACTTTTCATTTGCTTCAAATATCAGTTAAATAAATAGAGGACGTTTCGTATATACGAATACGTTGAGCTTACAAAGTTTTAGACTCACCTCTCAATCTTATCAACTATCTGCTTACAACGCTGGTTGTCTTTTTTTGGTTGTGTGCGTTAGGTTTTGTCAGATTATTTCTAAGTGATAATCTCTAGTTCCAGTTATGGGCTTCCACCTTAAACCCAACCAAAATAATCATTCTTACGACATACCTTTCAGTTCAGAAATTCATAATACTCAGTAAATGTGGTTATATGAGACGAAATATGTTGACTGATTATCCTGTTAAACATATGAACGGTGAAGTATATCTATGCATGGTTAAACTCTGGTTTGAAATGGAATAAAAGCACATCTTAACAAACTGCTACTTACTAAGATCATTTGCTATGAAATCCGAACACAGAATCTAGCCATTTTTAAATACCGATGAATTCTAAAATCCAGTCGAATTAATTTTATAATTGCTAATCTTCAATTTGTTTCTGTTAAATTTATATGATCAACTAAGCGATGGATCGAATGAGTGCCTAACTAGTATTACACAGACCTTGATGGTTATTGACGGTGGTATTCCGGCCGAAGAGGTTCGCGTAGACTTAGTTAGGAATGCCAAAGGGCTTTTCTGAAAATGACTATTCCTTCCAAGTATACGAACCCGCTTCTATGATACTTTTTGTGGCAAATCATAATCTCAAGGTTCATGGCGTACGAGCGTTGCACGAGGAGCGAGTGTGAGTTGCATGAATATAACAGTGATATTCGTCTTCAGCACACATAGCTCGTGATATTTCACAAGCACTTACCACGACGTTCACTTATACGCTACACGCATAATAGGGACGCATGAGTCCCTACAAAACATCCACTAGTATGCACAAGTACCCGTTACGTAGAAAGATAATCACCACCCCTATGAACGTACTTGCTCTCATGTATGCTTTAGAAGCATACCGTGCGTAGGAACTTCATGACATTCACACAGATGCAAGAGCTCTATTTGCGTCTCGTTATGTTTTTATCCAGACTTTTGATTTTTGGTTTGACGGATTTTTTGCCTTTTATTTTTAGTTACGGTAGACTATTTAACTACTATTCCTTTTGATGCCAGTCTATTAGTGCACCCTGTGCATATTCCTAAGGACACAGATTACATTGATCGATGCATATGCTGTTACCGAACGCAGGCATACATTTGAGGCAGTTCCTTTGCTTTATGGATTTAGCCTTCGAAAGACACTACAATCAGTTACGGCGTTAGAGAAGATAAAAAGATTGGTCTCCCCAACCCGCCCGAGTTAGTAACATGATCGACCCTAATACCTATCTGCGCCGGAAAGAAGGTATTAGGTCAAATGTTTCAACCCTCGATAACGGAAAAACATGTGCTTCAAAAGAACTATTTCCCGAAGTACACTTAAACATAATATTTAAAGAAAGGATGATAGAACTATACTTTTCGGGACTACGTGGCCTATTTTACGATCAGTTCTTCCATTGCATCGGGCATGTATCTCGAAGTATGTGATACTGCCCACGATTCGAAAACGAAAACCTTTTTTATTACATTTGCCGGATACTTTTAGTTCAGTATTAATTTATATTTAATTAAACCTAATTTTCTCAAGAAATCAATTCCAAAACAACTAATATGAAAAAAAATAATAACAAATATCAACAAACATATTCATTAGAACATAAATAAAATTGGACTACATTGGTGCTGTCAATAACTAGAGAGTTGAAGTTGAAACGACTAAAAGATGTAGCATGGAAACAGTAGGAAAAACACTTTTGTTTGTGGATTTTTGTATTGGGAATAGATTTCATTTGAAAGTAACAGATGAAATTGTTATAAAGAATCCAAGTGAATTACACGACATTTGGACAATATATCTGAGAACGTTAGTATCTAAGTGAAGTATTATTTTCGGTAACATACAATCTTCTGTGGTATACTAAGGAATTAGAGCCCATCAATGTAGATATTCTAGTTGAAAGACTGTGAACACGTCTACAAACCAGCTGAGTTCAGGTCACAAGCATCATTCCAGATATTTTATCTGGAAAACGAAGACGGGATTGTTCAAATGAAATAAGAGCGTTTTCTGGTGAATTCCTGGTAACGAAATAATACCGAAACGTGCCAGCGAAACGAACGGAGATGTAGAGCATGATGACAACCGACCAGCAGGAAAGTGAGCTACAAAAATACGAATAAACAAAATAATCAGTGAAACGTTTACTGGTAAAGTTGGTTACAGTAATGAATGTTCCTATTCATCTGTAGAATCTATTTTGAAGGCTTTGTTTTTGGAAAATCCCTCCATGTATATATATATTTGTGTTATGATATGACTGAATCTTCTGTTCGATATTTTGGTACTTTATTTGATCCCATTTGAGGTTTATTCATTGTATCTTGTTGTTATTTCTATATCTTGTACTTATATTGAAGTTTCCTTCTGAACTATATATGTGTTGTTTAAATTTGATACTTAATATGGCTACAGCCATATTTGGATTTGATACTCTAGCAGTAACTGGCTGGAAGTACTTATTCTTCCAGCAACGGAACCTTTTGTGGTAATTGGAAACTCGAAGGAGTAATTGTTACGTCCAGTTTTTTGCCCGTTGATCCTACGAAGCACGGTTGTCGAACTATTTGTAATTCACGGTCCAAATGTTTAAACCAAGAACGAAACTCCAAAGTAGATACCAAAGTTTATTCCAAATCACAAATTCGACCAAAATACTTTATTACAAATAGACGACCAATGTCGCTCTAACAACAATAATTATAATAATTACAATTACCTTCTAATTTATTAGCTCTTGGAGCAAAAAACTGCAAACGAACAACAAAGAGAAACGGGAGTCCAAAATGTCCGCAAATAATAATTCAAACAAGTTCACAAGTTAAGTAAAACAAATGTACAAAAAACAGTGAAAATAATAATATTTATACATGAAGGTTTTGATCAGCAAAATGTCTTCGTTTCTCCCGTAACAGTAATATTGGTAATTGTCTGCATTTCTCCTTTTGATTAAATATGGAATCGTTCTCTCCAAGAATTATCGTTTATGGACTTGGACTGGACGGGACGCGTATGAACCTACACCATTCGGGTTAAAAGCGGACTGCAAGAGTAATATAATCATTTTATAGTTCAAAACAATATTTAGAGAAGGATCCTTCGGATTTCTTATCGTTTACTATTTTTAAACAATATTTGAAGAGGATCTTTTGGATATTTTACTGTCAACTGGTTCTTAACAATATTTGGAAAAATCCTTTGGATATCTTCTTGTTGACAATAATTGAAGAAACGTAACCGGTGAATTTTAATATCTGGTTTTTGTTGTTTCTTTTCCGTTGAATTTCAAATGCTATAATGAGTTCTCGTAAGAAGCCAAACACGCACAGGGATGGAGCCCATGAAGAATCGCAGAATGCAAGGCAAGCACCTTATAATACTTCATGTTTAAAGGGTTCACTCTCTGATAAGGATGATATTATGTTTAGTACTTATAATCGTAAGGAGATAGTTTGGACGAGAACTTTGAGGTACCTGGGAAAGATTTGATGTCAAGAACACCGGTAGTTGGCTTAGAATTGCCAAAGGTTGAACTCAGTTACTTAGACGGCCGATACCGTGATTACTTTAGGTTTGTTAGGTAGTTCGAGACGTTTATAGAACCTAGAGTTGATGATGACAATCTGCGCCTAGTATATTCAATCCATTACTGCAAGGGTAAGGCAAAGGCTGCCATTGAATGGTGTTTAATGATGGAAGCTTCGTCAGGCTACAAAAGGGCTAAAGACGTTTTAAAGCGGCCTTTTTGGTCAAACGCACTTGATAGCCCGTGAAATGTTAGAAGAGTTGTTTAGGTCTGGGATTGCTGATAACAATTACCCAGAGCAGTTATCGAATTTAGCAATAAAGATGCAAAACATAGCTATGGCTTTGGAACAGTTGAATTATACCTCTGAATTAAATTCCTTGGTAACCTTGGAAAGGATAGTTAGGCTTCTACCTCATCGTATGCAAGTCCAGTGGGCAGAGCTGGAATTAAAATGGGACGAGGAGGATAGAGAGCCTACATTCAATGAATTGACTGAGTTTATGTTGTCTCGTGCAAGGATAGATAGTAGTAGATTTGGACGATTAGATAATAGCACGAATACAGGTTTAACTGTACGGAAACTGCACGAAAACAGGACATGATATGGAAGTGATCAGTCATCTGCGTGCAGGACATGGGAATTCTCCCAATGTGTTTGCTCCTACCTCTCGTGCGGAACTTAAGAGAGTTGTTAATTGTATAAGCCAGGTATATCCTCCTGAAGGCCGAGCATGTAAGCTTTATGATTTAAAATCCACTGACGTACATCCTAAGGAGAATTCAATATCTGTAGCAGATAAGGTGGCTTTTGTGAGGATGACGAAGAAGGAAAAAGGCAGAAAGGTTAGGTATCAAGATTGATCCCAGGTATGTGATGGTAGAAGTTCCCTTACTGCACGAAATGCAAGGAATGGTAATTTGGATTCGAGCAAACAGAGGTTAATGGGGGCAGTGAATATAATCAGAGACGAAACAGGTTTGACTGTACGGAACGAAGCTTATGTTCGGAACCCTTCACGTAGTGTAAATTATCTGACACGACCTAGAGCTGATCCTAGGATAGCAAGCGTAAACAGTGACACAGCACTTCATGTTGCTGCGCTAACAGGATGTCTGCCGGCTACTGTATCTAGTTCTATGGAGTATCATAATAGTGAAGGGAAAGAT